TTTTTTTTGTACGGTAGTGATTCAGGGGGAACAAAGCCTCTGATTTTTCTATATGTCATGCAGGAGGGGCTGTGAGCATCCCACGCAAGTGTGCTATTGTCCTTAAAATATGAAGCATGGAATTGGATTATGGGAAAATTTACAGGAAAGCCCTATATTTGATGGTAAAAACCATGGTTTCCTGTAGATTTTCCCTTAAACCAATCCAGTGAATGAAGCATATCAAAAAATCAAAGCGTCAAAAGCAACAGACCCCCATCACATCGAGTGAGAGCAGCAACCCCAATTTTCTGAGCGGCCAAAGCTGCAGCTATACCCGCGGCTCTTGCTTTCTCATCCGATAGCGATACCAATGCACAGATTGAGTATCTAAAATGAGGCAAAAACTCAAGGATCCTCAATGAGCAGGACAAGACTTGGATTTTGAAAGCTAACGCATTCAAGGATGGCAAATTTTCGATCGCAGGAGCTTCAATCAGTTTCTGGCATTCGTGCCCGAAGCAAAAAGGCTGAACTTGCAGACCAGAGACATCCTGAATGCCAGTTGCAACTGCCCAGTAGGTACAAAGCTTGCATCTTTGCCCCCCGAAACCTCTGTTGTAGGATTTTTCTCTGTTTGCCACCCCAAAAAAAACCCAAACAAACTGTGGAGGATGAAAAAAAAACCATGGCCTTTTCCTTGGCCCCGCCTAGGCCCCTGGTCATGGAACCCAGCAGTGGTTTCTATTGGGATCCGGTGCTCGTCTTGGACTTCAAAGGTGGGAAATCTCTGAGAATTTGAAGATTTTAAGCCCTTTAACATGGCCTACCCTCTGGTAAACTAACATAGCTATTGAAAATGGTGATTTATAGTGGATTTTCCCATTAAACATGGTGATTTTCCATAGTTATGTTGGTTTACCAGAGGGTAACCATCATATGGGTATGGTATGGGTACATCACCAATGGCCAAACATTTGTTTTTTGTGGGCACTTGGGACCCCACAGATTTCGCGTTCTAGACGGTTGAAATACCACTATTTTCGTGGTATTTCAGGATAGCCAGTATTCTATTACAAGACGCAACTCCCAGGTTAAATGATTTTGGAAGGAAGATCCTGAGAATCCTGAGATTGCCGCTAGCAAGCTGTTCTTCGTGTTTCTTGAAGTGGGTACCTGAAGATTACATTTTTTTTGATGGAATCATGGTGACAAACCCGCCAAAATTTGGAATTCCCAAGTTTGAGAACCACCCATGATATCCCCCAACAAGTTGATGGAAGTGGTCGAGCCCGACGTGGCAGGCATGTATCCATCCTTGATCGTGGCGCACAACTTTTCTTTTGACACATGCTTGGGCCATTCCAGGCCTAGCGGCCTAGCTCGGCTTTGACACCCCGGTATTGCAATGTTTGATGCTTTGACCATCTTTGATCATTTGATCATGTGACATGCTGCCACAACTAGCACACACACACACACGTTAACATTGACTCGTGAACATACCACTGAACACACACCAGAAATCACCAGAACGTATATCATGTGGTAAACCCTAAACTAAAGCCTGAACCATCCCCCAGTCATCACCATGAATGGGTGCTATCAGGCGGACAGGCCTTGGGCCCAGCTGCAAGATGGGTGCCTGGGAGGCCCAGTGATGCTGGTAACACCGGTGCCATGGGTTTTGGGCATTTTTTTTTCCATTTCATTTGGATGTGGGTCAGAATGGAAGACCATTAATGGGACCACAGATGTGAATGTCTAGTTACTCTAGTTTAGTATTAACCATCCAATTATTGGGGTACCTAATTTTGACCCATACCCATTTCAAGCTTCAAAAGGGTCTATTCCCTTGCAGCTCATTGGCATGCGGTTAATTAGAGATCTTGAAAATCAGGAAGCCACTGTGCGCTGGTCCTGATGATCTCACTTGAGCGGCCGCAGAGATCCACTCATGCTGGCCCGGCTGAACAGAATCGGCAAAAATACATAAAAATACATCACACCACATCAAACACATTGGGATTTAGCTGGTGGCTGACTCAAAAACACCATCTGGCACTGGGAATTCCATGGAAATCACGATGTGATCAGGAACTCATCAGATCGCCTGGGCCAAGGTTCGCAGTGAGCCGTGGCAGCTGGGTGCTGAGGCCCAAGCTCTGGCAGCGAGGGACCCAAGTTTCTGGGGGCCTGGTGTGTTCCTAAAGGATAAATGGAGATTTTAATGATCTATAAATGAGGGATTGGCATGTATTTTTCCAAGTCTTTATTCTGGGAAATGGGACAAAATACAAAAATACATGTATACCTATATATATATATACATGCACCTAAATATAGCAACAGCATTTGTAGATGAAGGATGTTCCATTCCTTTTTTTGAAACTCACATGGAACCCACAACAAATTGCAAATGCCAATGCATGAAGCAATGCAACAATAATCGTCTCACTGCCGTTCCTTTAAGGCTGCATGGTAGTTTTCAGGAATATGTGAGTGTGGGCATCATGATATCCTCACGCAAAACCCAACCATTGTCGGAATACATGAGATTCTTGGGGTTGAAAGAGTCGAACAATGAATTTACCCTCTGGTAAACTAACATAACTATGGAAAATCACCATGTTTAATGGGAAAATTCACTATTTCAATGGCCATTTTCAATAGCTTTTTGTATGTTTACCAGAGGGTAGACGTGGGGAATGGCTGGTCACACCAAGGAGTTGTTTGATGCAGGCCGGGTGGGGGCCAAAGATGGGACCACAAGCCAATGAGTCACTGGGTGTGGTGCCTATTGACAATATTTGAGAACAACCATAATAGCAATAGTTAGTACCTTTACAAATAGTATAGCAACCCGGTAACCCCCAAAAAGTTGATAGAACAGCAAATTAATCACTACTCCAGTAGGATTTAACATGTTCCGTCCAACCCGGACAATGCTCCACCCTTACAATCCTCCTCCTCCTCCTCATCATCATCGTCGTCATCATCATCATCGTCGTCGTCGTCATCATCATCATCACCATCATCACCATCATCACCATCATCACCACCATCACCATCACCATCACCACCACCATCATCATCATCGTCGTCGTCATCATCATCGTCGTCGTCGTCATCATCATCACCACCACCATCACCATCACCACCACCACCACCACCACCAGCATCATCATCATCATCATCACCACCACCACCACCACCATCATCATCATCATCATCACCATCACCATCACCATCACCACCATCACCATCACCATCACCACCACCACCATCATCATCATCATCATCATCATCACCATCACCATCACCATCACCACCATCATCATCATCATCATCATCACCACCACCATCATGGATCAATTTTACCTTTACACCGACATGGCATCTCAAAAATACGCAAGCCTTCCGCAATCCCTTGCTGCGGAGGCCTGGAAGATGAGGCGGTGGATCCAGCAGTACCTGTGCATGAAGGTTATGGATGGTTATGGATCTCCCCCAGTTTTTTTTTGGTATAAAAATATGGTGATCCATCACCATATGATCATATCATATGGCAAGGTTAATCATGTTGGCTGATGGTTCGTTCTTGACTTTCTAAAGTTGTCGGATGGTTCAAGAAATAACATGTTTTCTAACGCAATCGACTGTCAGAACTTTCAACGTGGAAATCCTCGGACCCCGCTGGGGTTTTCTCTATGGTGCCAACTTGGTGATGCTTGTTGCCCCAAAAAAGGTTCGACTGGCTGCCAGCGGTGCTTTATTCGTGGGTCCGGAGCTTGAGAGCAAAGATAGCAAAGGGAGGAGCAACGTTTGGCATGAAGCCTTGAGATGTTTGGGGCCTCCATTTTGCAGGGTTGAATGGTCCCAGAATGGTTCGACGATCATCTTATTTGGGCACCAATTGCGATGAAGCACTGACTACTAATTCTGCTCGTAGTCTTTCTATGCGCTTGTGAAATCATTTGCCACTGCAGGTTTCTGCGTTTGGGTTCGCCCTTAGCAGGGCCTATTGTTTATAGCACCTGATAGCACCCCCACTATGACTTCCATAACTTACCCTCTGGCAAACTAACAGTTTGCTATTGAAAATTGCCATAGAAATAGTTGGTTTACCCATTAATAGCATGGCGATGTTCCATCGTTTTTTGTAGGTTTACCAGAGGGTAAAGATCTTCTTTAGGAATCACCATGAACATGGTAAACATCACATCCCCAGCCAGTTGTTCATGTTCCATCCTGAGGGATGCTCAAGCACCAACCAGTCTCTAACTATGAAGTGGTTTCAGGCAACATCTATTGATCCATTGAATCCCACAATCGGATGATGTATTTTCTGGGGTAAAAATGGTTGGGATTCCTGTTCGGTTTGCCCTTAAATGTCCTTCAAGGTGGTGTCCCCCCAAGTTATAAGTTGGTTTATATCCCCCAGTCGATATATGCATCATGAGCACGAGTGAAATTGGAGCTATTTGCACCAACTTAGCTGAAGAATTATGGGGCACCACTACCCTGTTGAACCAATCCATGAATTTCCGCATTTCCCGAGGCCCTCAAGTCCGCAAGGGCCTGCTGCCGCTGATGCTCGCAGAGGTCCTGCAGTTGCGCGCCGAGACGAAACGCTTGGCCAAGACGAGTTCTGCAGCGCTGGTGGCTCGGCTTGGCGGGATGTGGACGATTCCCGAAGAAGTCAGGCTTGCTCCAGTGGATATAGTGGAATGATAGCCACGTTTAACGATACGTTTGGAGGAAAACTATGGAAAACTGGTGGTTCTATCTCTTTACTGATTTCCCTCCTTGTATGTGGGGGTATTGCGATGAACATCATCATTTCCAATCGCAATATGTAAACTTGTAAACGTCTCGACCTCCAAAATGTCGGCATTTTCAGTAAGAATGCCATCATGCGACCTGCTAAATCTTCATTTTATTTTGTGATGACACCACTTGTGTTTCGAACTGCCAACATTTTCTTCCTAGGCGAAGCGTTTGGAGCACAAGCAGTTCGCCTTGAAATACTTTGCCAACGTGTTCTGCCCTTGGATCAATGCTACCATGGCTGCCTGAAAAATCTGAAAATGCTTGAGGATGGCTAAGAGGAGGTTGCTTTTAAAGATCATGATCCAAAAAAGAAAGACATCAACAGTCAACATCTTGTAACCAATGGTGGCCCATACACAATGATACCATACTGATAAATTGATACATCTTGTAACCGATAGTGGATGTGTCAAGCCATGGATTCTCTTTTAGGGCCCGTCTCCAAAGGACCTACGGCTACTCGTCGGCCTCCTTCAGTGGACGCATGTCGTGGCCCTGGGACCCTGGGACCCTGGGCATGGCGACCTTTCCAGGTCATCAATTGAACTTGAACTCTGACAAAGTGCCAGTTAAAAATGGTGGTTTTATGGAAAAATCATAGGAACACCATAGGAAAATGGTGGTTTTACCCTCTGGTAAACGAACATAACTATGGAAAATCACAATTTTTTATGGGAAAATCAACTATAAATGGCAATTTTCACTAGCTATGCTGATCTGGTTTGTGGTTTAAAACATGGCTTTTATATGTTTCATTATGTTTCCAATATATTGGGAATAATCCATCCCAACTGACGAGCATATTTTTCAGAGGGATTGAAACCACCAACCAGTTAAGTGTTTATACTTAAAACTTAAAACCACTTCAAGTTCAAAGGTCAAGTTACCATCAACTTTGGATGGTTGCTGTGGATATCCGATATCCATCCGATATCCCGACATCCCCCGCAAATGCAAGCAGTCTGCGAGTCGGTGATGTTTTTCATCAGGGATGGTCCTTGGAGGGTTTGCCTGTCCAGTTTGGAAGGGTTTGTAACCAACAACCGGGACCCTCAGGGTGAAATTCATCTCCAAATTGCAGGTTTATCATGGTTTATTAATTGATATTAATTGCACATTTCTCCAAATACCATGGTTACGCTCATCATTTTTCATGAAAATTGCACTACTCACATTGCTGATGCCATGGGGTTTCCATCCCTCCATCCCTCCATGACGCTGAGGCCCTGCTCAGAGATTGCTGATGCCATCGTGGCCACCGGGCGCCGGGCTCTCGAGGAGGTGCCCTGAGGGATTTCATGGGATTTTACCCTCCGGTAAACATACAAAAAACGATGGAAAATCACCCATTTTTCATGGGAAAATCCACTATTTCTATGGCCATTTTCAATAGCAAACTGTGAATGTTTACCAGAGGCTAGGTGATCTCATGGGGAATTTTCATGGGATTTTATAGGGATAGAATGGAACATACAGCCAACAATTGTGGGGAGCTGTGTCTTTCTTGCCAATTCATGGCACGAGAGCGAAACCTTGGGCATGCGGCGAAAACTCAAACTTGACAGCTTGGTTTTGGTTTCTAGTGTTATCATAAGGGGTCTGAAAATGGGGTATTATGATGGAACAGCAGATTTCGAGGTACTTTTACACAAACCTGATATGATACCTATAGACTATAGGGGCTTTTTGTCAACACAGAGATACGCGTGCGCTGCAGCCATGGCAGGCTGCCAATTTCATCGAGGCGAGGGAGTCCACAAGATCGCTCACCTTTTTTGTCATTTAAATCCCCCGTTGATACCTGGTATACTAACATAGCTATGGAAAATCACCATGTTTAATGGGAAAATCAACTATGAATAGCCATTTTCAATACTGTAACAAATTACCAGAGGGTAAGTCCTGGTTGAGCAACGTCAATGGCCAGTGAAATCCGGGATACTACTGCGAGTTACAGCGATGCTTCGCAGGCACACTGGGAGGGTGCAAAGGTCGTCTACGGTGACACCGATTCGGTTTTCGTTTGGGGATCTCAGAATGCGGTGGATCGTAGGGGTAGGGCCTTAGGGTAGGGGGCCTGAAAGATCCTGAAACCATGTGAGTCCTCCACTTCAATATACTTACATTGTACCCTCTGGTAATGACTAACATAGCTATTGAAAATGGCCATTTATAGTGGATTTTCCCATTAAAAATGGTGGTTTTCCATAGTTATGTTAGTTTACCAGAGGGTACCTACCTGTTGGGGGGGTCAGCAGGTCTTGGGCCAATTTGGGGACCTGTTCCTCTTCATCTCGAAAAATCGCCAACGGACACCCGAAGATGTGCTTGGAAAAGCATCGTTTTCCCCCTGTTTCCTGGCATTCCCCTCCTTTTTCCATCTTTTCCCCGGATGCTTCCATGGGAATCGCCCTTTCTATGGAATTTCCCGGTGTTCTGCGTTTCTCATCTATTGTCCGTTGGATTTTGCAATGACTCCAGTTGGAGTTTCCAATGACTTCAAGATACTCCAGCAATTCCCTGGAATTTTCCCATAGATTTAGGTTCAGCTGAAGGGCTACTCCTTGGAGGAAGCCTTCCAAACTGGCAAGGAGATCTGTGCCCAGGCACTGGGAATCCGCCGTTCTGCACAACGCCCAGTGCGGAAGAAATCTTCTTATTCTGTTGCACCATATGTTCCAAATCTATCATATCTACAGTAACAGACAAATAAGAATCAATAATACATATACATATATATATAAATATATATAATATACTATATATAATATAATAATATTATATAATCATACATGCACAATTACCCCCAAAAAGCGATTAGACATCATAATGAGCTCATGCCACCCATACCTCATGTACATATCACAGGTGCACGCCCAATGCTAGGTCTCTGCCAAGCATCCAGCCCCAGTGGAGTTGGAGTTTGAAAAGGCCAGGGGGCTTGGGTCAAAATGGCTACGAGTCAAAACCTTGGCTGGGTTTCACAGCAAAATCGCTGGTAGTTCTGGATCCCCCGAAAAACCATGGAAAACTTGGTCGGTTTTGAGATGTTTTGATCCATCCAATGGTCTCTGACCTTGGGACAACAAGGGGGGGAGGTCTACATGCCCTGCTTGTGCCTCACGAAGAAGCGCTATGGTGGCTTGGCATACGTCGGCACCCTCAGTGATGCTGGTAGAATGGGTCAAAGGTCCAACTTCAGGGCCACCACGACCGCAGATTTAGGATGGTTTCTAGGTGATGTCTTTTGGTAAACTATATAAGTAAACCATCGTGAGCCATCCCTCTTTATCCATCTTTATCTTATTTTGAGGTACAATAGGTATATCGGTACTGTATATCAACAGTATTTTTTTGACCCCAGCCCATAGCCGTGTTGGCCTTGGTGCCGACAGCAGCTTGAGCCGCTGAAAGGCCAAACCACCTTCCGAGGGCGGCGCCGGCAATTTCGAAGCCAAGGGCTTGGAAGCCATACGTCCGGGGGCTCAAGATGTGCTATCAGGATGGGGGTTGGATGGTTAAAGCAGGACGTGTGTGTCTGTGAAAACAAGATTGCCAAGATACAGCGCCAAAATTGGTCCAATAGCCCCCATGAGACCTACCCAAAACTCGGCTCAGCAGGCTCCTGTAGGTTGCCAACATGCAGCACCAAACTCGGTCCAATGGGCCCCATAAGACCTGTAGGTTGCCAACATACAGCCCCAAACTTGGACCAATAGGCTCCAGAATAGCTGTAGGTTGCAAACATACAGCTCCAAATTCGTTCCAACAGGCACCTAAACGAACTGTAGGTTGCCAACATGCAGCCCCAAAGTCGGACCCATAGGCTCCACAAAAGCTGCAGCTTGCAAGCATACACCCGCAAACTCGTTCGAATAGGCCCAAAGCCGGTTGTCAACATACAGCCCAAACTTGGACCTTCAATAGGCTCCAGAATAGCTGTAGGTTGCAAACGGACACCCCCAAACTCAGTCCAACAGGCTCCAAAAGACCAGCCCCGAACTCAGTCCAACAGGCCCCCATAAGACCTGTAGGATGCCAACATACAGCACAAAAACTTGGCCCAATAGGCCCCATAAGACTTGTAGGTTGCCAACATCAAGCCCCAAACTCGCTCCAACATGCCTCTTAAGGACTATGTAGGTTGCCAACATGCAGCACCAAACTCGGTCCAATGGGCCCCATAAGACCTGTAGGTTGCCAACATACAGCCCCAAACTTGGACCAATAGGCTCCAGAATAGCTGTAGGTTGCAAACATACAGCTCCAAATTCGTTCCAACAGGCACCTAAACGAACTGTAGGTTGCCAACATGAAGCCCCAAAGTCGGACCCATAGGCTCCACAAAAGCTGCAGCTTGCAAGCATACACCCGCAAACTCGTTCGAATAGGCCCAAAGCCGGTTGTCAACATACAGCCCAAACTTGGACCTTCAATAGGCTCCAGAATAGCTGTAGGTTGCAAACGGACACCCCCAAACTCAGTCCAACAGGCTCCAAAAGACCAGCCCCGAACTCAGTCCAACAGGCCACCATAAGACCTGTAGGTTGCCAACATACAGCACCAAACTCGGTCCAAAATATACTAGTAGGATGCCAACATACAGCACAAAAACTTGGCCCAATAGGCCCCATAAGACTTGTAGGTTGCCAACATCAAGCCCCAAACTCGCTCCAACATGCCTCTTAAGGACTATGTAGGTTGCCAACATACAGCACCAAACTTGGCCAAATAGGCTCGATAGGACCTGTAGGTTCTCAACATACAGCCCCAAACTCAGTCCAAAAGGCCCCATAAGACCTGTAGGTTGCCGACATACAGCACCAAACTCGGTCCAACAGGCCCCATAAGACTAGTAGGTTGCCAACATACAGCACCAAACTTGGCCCAATAGGCCCCATAACGCCCCATAAGACTTGTAGGTTGCCAACATCAAGCCCCAAACTCGCTCAAAATGCCTCTTGAGAACTGTGTAGGTTGCCAAGATACAGCCAAACTTGGCCAAACAGGTGCTATAAGACCCTTAGGTTCCCAACATACATGCCCAAACTCGGTCCAAAAGGTCTCGTAAGACATGGCCAACACACAGCCCCAAACTCGGCCCAACAGGCCCCATAAGACCAGTAGGTTGCCAACATACAGCCCCAAACTCAGTCCAACATGCCCCGTAAGACATGTAGGTTGCCGCCATGCAGCATCAAACTTGGCCCAATAGGCCCCTTGAGGCCTGTAGGTTGCCAACGTACAGTACAAAAAAAGTCTCATGAGACCTGTAGGTTGCTGAGAGATAGCCCCCAAACTCAGTCCAACAGGCACCATGAGACCTGTAGGTTGCCACCATACAGCCCCAAACTCGGTCCAACAGGCCCCATACGACTTTTAGGTTGTCAACATACACCCCCAAACCCAGTGCAACAGGCCCCATAAGACCTGTAGGTTGCTGCCATGCAGCATCAAACTCGTTCCAATGGGTCTCATAAGACGAGTATAGGTTGCCAACATACAGCACCGACAGTTCAACCAGCGTTGTTCTGTGAGGTCGCGACCAGTGTCGCATGGCCAGCAATGTTCAGAATGAGATCCTCAATGACTTCTTCCGCACCAAGGATGGAGTCGAACCTGGTTGGTTGTCCCCTTCCATGGGGTGTTGTTGTGATACTCATAATCTTTGTTGGGTTGCCTGAACTTCTGGCCATAGCATGGTTCCGAGATTTCTTGTGTAACATTTCACAATCACCTAGTTTTGGGGAGCTTTAAACTGCCCGCCCCAAAATGGAGAAGATAAGAAAAGTATCCGGAATTCGGAGCCCTGCCGCATGAGGACCTTTCTTCTGTGAAGAGGATCTTCATCGCGCACGCCACTGCCATCTTGAAAGGCAGGGGGCCTTGGCCGACAGATTGGACCCATTGATTTTCAGCAAGAACCCCAAGATGTTGATACTCAAAAACCGTGGATCATGGCCGCCTGCAGTTTCCTTGGTGCAGCTATGTGCAGCTGCTATAGGTGGATTGGATAGCCGCCATAGCGTGCCGGAACCTCGATAAATGGGCCATGGATGGCCATGGTTTCCAGAGCAAACTGCTGAAATTGCCGGAGGGATCCAGGAGGGTATCTATCATTTAAGCATATTTAAGCTGTTCATCAGTTGCCCTCTTTTTTGACTCATGTTGACTCCGAATCTTCCTTTCAAGATAGAATGCTTTGGCACCCTTAGAAACCACAACCCGGTAACCCGGCAATGGAAAACTCCAATTCTTCAATCATTTCCTAAGTTTCTGACCTAAATTTCGCTTAATTTACTGAAGATGTTTGGCTTCCAGTTGGGCTTCCGGTCGCCGGTCGAGCCCAGGGCCGATTTCTCCTTCTTCCGCGAAGCGCGCTTGGGCACCTACCGCGCTGAGGCTGGGCGCCAGGCGGAGACTTCACCATAGGGCAATGAAGATTGGGAGAAACATTGAAAAATCTCAAGTCAGGTGTAGGATGTAAATATAGTTAAATAATGTTAAATAATGTTAAATATATATTTAAATGATTTTAAATGAACATCATTTTTATATTATATTTTTTATAGGTATTAGATTATTAGATTGTATTAGTATGATGATTATGATGATGCATGATTCTGTAGCATTATGATTGTTTTCAAGTGCTTATGAATGTTTTTTTTTTTAAATGATTAATGTCAACCCTGGATGAATAAACCCCCAGATTTTTTAATTGGGAGGGTACCATTTAAGTATCATATTATGACTATTGGAGGAGCACCCCCCTAATTAATAAACCATGGTTTAGTCTCATCCGGGGTAGACATTATTCCAGTTTGGACTCTGTGAATTTTTCGTGCCCCATCGTTGATCGGACCATATCCTGCAGCCGCTGGGCCCAGGCTGAGGATGGTGGGGGAGCTACACTGCCACCACAGGCTATCCTGATAACTAGGACCTAGGATACCCTCTGGTAATTTAACATAGCTATGGAAAATCACCATTTTTCATGGGAAAATCCACTATTTCTATGGTCATTTTCAATAGCTACGTTAAATTACCAGAGGGTAAGTGGGGTATAACTGGGGTATCAATGGAATCTGGAAGATCTTCGAAAAATTGGACGTAGCTTTGGAATGGCACTGGAACATCTGATCAGCATCAAAACTGGATGGTAAGAGGGACGCAAGGGTCCCGAGATGTCGTGGTTCCTCCAAAAAGAGACGCGTCAGAAAAAGATGCAGTTTTACTGGGAACAATGATGACACTCCAGAATTAATTTGGGCAACCTTAATCTTCAGACATATTTTTGATATGAGTCACATAGGTTGCACATGAGATTCCCATGATATCCTCCATAAAATGGTCGCTTTCATCGCCAGAATTGGCGCATGGCGCCGCAAGGCAGCCGTGGCGAGGAATCGCATTGCCGTGGAGGGTGAGTCCGTGGGGAAGCCCCGGGGTTTAGTTGGGTCCGACCTGGAATTGTCCAACAGATTTTCCGCTGATTGGTGGTTTCAAAGATTGTTTATTTCCCCATATAGGGAATTTCATCATCCCAACTGACTTTCGCATATTTTTCAAGATGGTTAAAACCCCGCACCAGTCCAACATGTTCCAACTCAATTCATCAAAGTTCACCCGGTTTCAACCTGGAAGGCACGAACGCGGCATCTTTGGTCGAGCTGCCGATTCCTATCACCCCATTTGTTTTTCCATGTTTTTCCCACTTTAGTCATGGTTTCAAGTTTTATTTATGGCAGGGTGGTTAACCTCCATTGGCCAACTTTTTTTTTTTGTGTGTGTGTATGGGTTGAAACCACCAACCATTTACTGTCTAAATGGCATCAAATGGATAAAACTGTCAATGGGATAACGACTTGCTGCTTCTACTGCCGTTGTCATGGAAAGCAATGAGAAACAAGCACTTGCATGTGTCAGCATAGTTCCCCGATCAGCAGTATTTGTTTGGTCTTCTTAATTCTATGTATTTGTTTGCAGTGAACTACAGGTTGCTGAACATTATTGAATCCCTTCCCCCAAAAATGAAATACTACTCCATGAGGGGCCACTGGTCCGGTATTGGATCAATTCAGTTTAGGGTCAATGTGAAGTTGTGTTTAAGTTGGAATACCCTTTGTTTGGGCTGTACATAGGACAATCAATTCTTCTCCTCATTTCATATTGTAGAGCTTCGCACACCGGCGATGCCGGCAGGGATCGGGGGAGGGAAAGAGAGAGGGGGATTTCATCTGAACTTGCGGACATGACATGCTGCGAGCTGCATCTTGCTGCAGAGCTGGCATTGTGGCGTGAGAGTTGCCGAATCGGCAAGCAGAGCGATGGCGGACAGCGAAAGGGAGGAGTGGAATTCTCGTTCTTGTTCTTGCTCGTGTTGTCGTTGTCGTCGTCGTTGTCCTTTTTGTCGTGTTTGTCGTAGGAGTCGGGGGAGGGAAAGAGAGAGGGGGATGTCATCTGAACTTGCGGACATGACATGCTAAGGGTCGGCGCCTTATCTTGGGGCTATGTTGGCCCATCTTGGGGCTATGTTGGTCCATCTTGAGGCTATGTTCGCCTATGTTGGCCCATCTTGAGGGCTATGTTGGCCCATCTTGGGGCTATGTTGGCCCATCTTGGGGCTATATTGGCCCATCTTGGGGGCTATGTTGGCCGATCTTGGGAGCTATGTTGGCCCATCTTGAGGCTATGTTGGCCCATCTTGAGGCCTATGTTGGCCCAGGTTGACCCATCTGGAGACCCAAGCTCTAAAATCTCACCCCGAACCCCGAAAAACGTGAAAACCACAGCAGGCTGAAGGATTTTAGGGGAGGGTCGGCGGCAGGGGCGCGCCCGCTATAGCTAAAGCTATGCTTAGCGGTCTCAGACACGGCGCATCGCCGGATTTAAGGGCTGCCGCCCCTGCCGCCGACCCCGGAAGAATGGTCAATGAATGAAACCAAATTGGCATCAATATTCTTCGGTGCTTCGCACTTTTATGTTTTCCCCCTTTTCATAAGTATATTTGCTGAAACGCCACCTAATTTCGTACCCCAAACGCTCCAAAATCGAGCCCAAAAAGTGCCTAACGTCGCTTCTGAAACCCTAGAAAAAAAAAGATCTTTTGCCTGCCTTTGTGATAACCGTCTTGTCGCGTCCTGTCGCTTTGATGTCAGCTAGCTGTCGAGCATGGACACCACTCGAAACGCTGAAACGCCACCTAATTTCGTGCCCAAAACGCTCCAAAAGTGACCGGGAAAAGTGCCTAACGTTGCTTCTGAAACCCTAGAAAAAAAAGATCTTTTGCCTGCCTTTGTGATAACCGTCCTGTCGCGTCCTGTTGCTTTGACGTCAGCTGCAACAGCTCGACTCATGACCACCACTCGAAACGCTGAAACGCCACCTAATTTCGTGCCCAAAACGCTCCAAAATCGAGCCCAAAAAGTGCCTAACGTCCCTTCTGAAACCCTAGAAAAACAATAGTTTTGGACAAGGTTTTATAGTTTTCGACCAATTTTTATACCACTGTTTGTACAATGAGACATAGAACCCTCCTGTTGCTCCTGTTGCTGCTGCTGCTCTTCCTCCCGAGGCTGAAAACGCACCCTCCATGACGGGGAAACACAGTGGCCCTGAAGGACGGAACAGCGCCAAAATCGAGCCCAAAAAGTGCGTAACGTCCCTTCTGAAACAGGGAAAAGTGCCTAACGTTGCCTCTGAAACCATAGAAAAAAATATCTTTTGCCTGCCTTTGTGATAACCGTCCTGTCGCGTCCTGTCGCTTTGACGTCAGCTGCAACAGCTCGACTCATGGCCACCACTCGAAACGCTGAAACGCCACCTAATTTCGTGCCCAAAACGCGCCAAAATCGAGCCCAAAAAGTGCCTAACGTCCCTTCTGAAACCCTAGAAAAACAATAAAAAACAATATAGTTTTGGACAAGGTTTTATATAGTTTTCGACCAATTTTTATACCACTGTTTGTACAATGAGACATAGAACCCTCCTGTTGCTCCTGTTGCTGCTGCTGCTCATGGCCACCACTCGAAACGCTGAAACGCCACCTAATTTCGTGCCCAAAACGCTCCAAAATCGAGCCCAAAAAGTGCCTAACGTCCCTTCTGAAACCCTAGAAAAAAAAGAAACTTTTGCCTGCTTGTGAAAACCGTCTTGTCGCGTCCTGTCGCTTCAGCTCGAATCATGGCC